CACCAGTCTGATGACTCTCCTTTGCACATTTTCAATCACCTGATTGTCTCTTGGCATATCTCGGGGACCAAACTAGGAAGCACCTCCCTCTTGAAGATCATTACGAGGGACGAGCAGCAGCTGGGGAGAGTGTGTATGGTGGGTAGAGGCTTGTGCCCGCTGGCCACAAGAAAATATACTGTATAATAAAACAGAACGATAAGTGGGTAAGAGAGATAAGCAGCGAGCCCTTGATTGGCTAGTGGTGTGGGCGAGATGTGCGTCATCAACCAATGATATGCTAAACACATCAACTCAGCCTCGCTCACTGTTCGCATCACTTACAGACACAATTTACATATTTTTTGTACGTTTTAATGATCGTGACAAAGTTCCGCAAAAATTACAATAAAATATCGTGTATTGTCTTAACACTTTACCGTCACTTTCTACACTTGCCTTCGCACTTTACTCACTTTCTACACTTAACACTTTACTGTCACTTTCTACACTTAACACTTTACTGTCACTTTCTACACCTGTCTTAACACTTTACTGTCACTTTCTACACCTGTCTTAACACTTTACTGTCACTTTCTACACCCCTCTCCTCCCCATGTTTCATCTCCCCCCAAATAAAATTTTTCTGACTCATTTTTCTATAGACACAGGACAAGAACCAATCATTTACTGTAGTCTTGTGTCTCAGTTCTTAGCAGTTAATCGGTACACCTACATGTGCCCTACTTTGATAAGTTCTCTCTTGCCGGTCGCAATGTTGTTAACTTTTCTGTTCCGCTGAAAGTTTGGTCACGCAGGGCTAGCGAGCGGATGTGAGCGGCTGTAACCTGATAGCGGACTACTACTACTTCTACCACTACTATTACTACTACTATTACTCTACTACCATTACTACTACTACTACTTTTTATAGTACTAATATCATTACTACTAGCAAACACATCAAGTACCAATATTACTGCTACCATACATTCTATTACAATCACTACCACAACTACTACCACTACAATTACTACTAAAACACTAAACATTACAGAACTTTACTTAACACAACTTGCATAATACATAAGTGAAGTGTTCAATTAAAACTTTTCCTCGTGACCTCAGTTTAATTATTTGCAAGGACCTAATGCTATTTGGGAAGGTTAGATTAAATTAGGTTAGGTGAGGTTAGATTAGGTTAAGTTAGGTTATGTGAGATTAGGTTAATTTCTTCACCACAGTCAACATCTGTAGTTCTACTTCACCAGCCATTGTATAATTACAACTTTTTCTGACAAATTGCCCGGCAATATTCACTCGGCCAATGTGGTGACGTGTAAGTTATCTCCCAGCATATTATTCTCGGGCGACCTCGGGGGAAAAAGTCGAGATGACCCCCCCATCAGCTTATTTCACCTAATTAGCCACACCAGATGGTGAAAAATAACTGGAAGGACAGACAGTCATGGCAAACATATAATGCCCCCTTCTGATCATAAAGGCATAAAAATTAACTCAAATACCTGAAGATAACAGATGTTTAACTCTTCATTTTTTCTTTCCACATCCTCGTTATCTCGATGAGCTAAAAAGTCATTTCTTTCACAGTTCATTACCTGGTGTTATCTTACCTGTTTAGTATTTCATCTGGTCCACATGTTGGTTAATGAGAGGAAAACGTCCCTCGTTAAATGTCACCTGTACATGTATATAGAACTGTGTGTGTACCACTGAGTATGCCCAAGTGTTGCATGTACGCAGAGCCGAATGTGTACTGTAGTAAGTGTGTAAACAACTGTTGCTATATATTGTCCTGGATACACATACTGTATTATATGGCCTTATGTTACAGGACACAAACACTGTAATATGGGCTATGTTACAGAGAGAGGAGATTGGCTGTCAGACCTGTATCAAGCTCATCACCCAATATAGAGAATCATTTGCCCTTTATATAATACAGAATATCCATTATAAAGTAATATATATTCCTCTTAGTATTTCATAAGCCCGAGATGCTCATTTGTTATTATATCAATTAATTTATCATATCATAGACAACACAAAACTCGGTCATCTGAGAAAAATGTTTATACACACTGGCTTAAAAGATGGTGGTGGAGAGCGTGTGAATGTTTGGAGTACAACAGCAACATTATCCTCACACATCAACACATGAGGACAGTTATCAGGTTATCTATAGATGCTAATGTTGCAAATTGTCTCGTTCATTTTCTTAAACTCAACGACTACTACTGTACTGTACTCCAATCACAAAAGGGCAATAACCACAATCACATCAGGGCGCTCCACCATCGTCACCGCCTCAACATCGCAGTAGGTAAATAATGGCAAAAAAATAACCCATTCTCATCAATCAGGTACAAATTCATTTATTGAAAATATTTCCACTCGTACCAAAGTCTTTCATGGTCTGGTAACACAGCATCAGACACCATCATCCAAGACAAAACTCTCCGTTAACTTAGTGTTTGGAAAGAATGAAATTTTTTTTTATTTCTTAATGGTATTGTATATGAGTCTATTGGACAGGACTCAAAAAATCCACTTCACATCTGTTTGTTTGTGGATGAGGTGTTTGTATGGATGAGTGACTATTCCTCATGTCTTCATCCACCAGGGTAAGTGATTCATCCATGTGGGTAAGTGGTTCATCCATGTGGGTAAGTGGTTCATCCATGTGGGTAAGTGGTTCATCCATGTGGGTGAGTGATTCATCCATGTGGGTAAGTGGTTCATCCATGTGGGTAAGTGGTTCATCCATGTGGGTAAGTGGTTCATCCACCTGGGCAAGTGACTCATCTATGCAGACAAAAAGATACTCCCAATACTCATCCACCTAAAACAACCACAACTTTGACTATACATTAAAAAAAGTTGCAAGACCAAAATGAACTGAATATAAGAATCATCCTTTGAGCGTTTTTTGTCACAGTTCATTAGGATATGAATCATACCTGATCATCATCATTATTATCACCACTATCACCATACCTCACACAGATAATAAACCTTAACTATACAGTACAATAAACCCTCTCAATAAGGGACATTGTTAATAAAGAACTTCTCAATAAGGGACACTGCCAATATCCCTCAATTGTACCATTAAATAGCATTATGATGGCCGGGAAATATATGCAAATTTTTATTGTGTAATTTTATGCATACACAGAGAAAAAAAGGAATCGCTCCCATTAGTCTGGCAATGAGAGGGTTTTACTGTATGGGATGATTTGTACCGGTGGTTGTACAAGGAATCGCCCTGCAGGATGAGGACCTTTTCATAACAATGCCTTCCTTTGGGACATTTGACGTCTCATAGATTTTTCAAGCCCTGTATAATGTTAACTTAATCTTAAACAAAAAATATGATGTCATCTAATATCTCTGAAATTAGCCGAACAACTAAATAAATAAACAAACAAACAGGAATCTAATGACACATATGGAAAAATATATATATTATATTGTATGTGAACTTCCCCATAATATTATTCTGTAGTCCCCCCCCCTCTACAGTTTCTAAACATGATGCCACTAAAACTCAAACTGAGGTTTATTGAGCTTAATATTACTAAAGCTGACTAGTATATTAAGCTTTAAGCCTTTCTTTCATCCACTAGACACATTAGCCCTTAACTGGTGACCAAGGAATGCAAGGAACTGCCATCCCTCAGCTAACTTCCACTGATGATGGCCACCATCCCCTCAGCTAACTTCCACTGATGATGGTCACCATCCCTACAGCTAACTTCCACTGATGATGGCCACCATCCCTACAGCTAACTTCCACTGACGATGGCCACCATCCCTACAGCTAACTTCCACTGACGATGGCCACAGTCCCTACAGCTAACCTCTACAGATGATGGCCACCGTCCCTACAGCTACACTTCCACCACCGTCCCTACAGCTAACTTCCACTGACGATGGCCACCATCCCTACAGCTAACCTCCACAGATGATGGCCACCATCCCTACAGCTAACTTCCACTGATGATGGCCACCGTCCCTACAGCTAACTTCCACTGACGATGGCCACTGTCCCTACAGCTAACCTCCACTGATGGTGGCCACCATCCCTACAGCTAACTTCCACTGATGATGGCCACCGTCCCTACAGCTAACCTCTACTGATGATGGCCACCATCCCTACACCATCCCTACAGCTAACTTCCCCATGGCTGCAGCCTAACACCACTGATGGCGCACACCACCTGCCCCTAACTCCACTGATGGTGGCTAAACTTCCTGATGGTGACCACCGTCCTACAGCTAACTCCACTGATGCACCCAATGATGGTGGCCAGATCCTACAACTAACACCCACTGATGGTGGCCACCGTCCCTACAGCTAGCCTCCACTGATGGTGGCCACCGTCCCTACAGCTGACACCCACTGATGGTGACCACCGTCCCTACAGCTAACCTCCACTGATGGTGGCCACCGTCCCTACAGCTAACACCCACTGATGGTGGCCACCGTCCCTACAGCTAACACCCACTGATGGTGGCCACCGTCCCTACAGCTGACACCCACTGATGGTGACCACCGTCCCTACAGCTAACCTCCACTGATGGTGGCCACCGTCCCTACAGCTAACACCCACTGATGGTGGCCACCGTCCCTACAGCTAACACCCACTGATGGTGGCCACCGTCCCTACAGCTAACACCCACTGATGGTGGCCACCGTCCCTACAGCTAACCTCCACTGATGGTGGCCACTGTCCCTACACCTAACACCCAATGATGGTGGCCACCGTCCCTACAGCTAACACCCACTGATGGTGGCCACCGTCCCTACAGCTAGCCTCCACTGATGGTGGCCACCGTCCCTACAGCTGACACCCACTGATGGTGACCACCGTCCCTACAGCTAACCTCCACTGATGGTGGCCACCGTCCCTACAGCTAACACCCACTGATGGTGGCCACCGTCCCTACAGCTAACACCCACTGATGGTGGCCACCGTCCCTACAGCTAACACCCACTGATGGTGGCCACCGTCCCTACAGCTAACACCCACTGATGGTGGCCACTGTCCCTACAGCTAACACCCACTGATGGTGGCCACCGTCCCTACAGCTAACTCCCACTGATGATGACCACCATTTAAGGGTTAAGGCATCATATATGGCAGCCACTGTGGTATAAATCATAGTATTAAGATTAGTAAGGTTTAATATTACCAAACTTTATATCAAACTCTGATTCAAATTACTTTTTTTAGAGAATAATTAATTAGTAGTTTGTCTTCTAATAACTGTTGCTAATTTATACACTACAGCTGTATAAAATCAACTCATCCCCGAGATGTGCAAGGAACATCAATTTATTCATTTAGAAAACTCATTAAGTGAAAAAGCCTTGCCAACGAGCAGTTCAGAAAATACTACTATCATATAAATCAAATCATACATCGGTACTACCATTATAAATATACATTAATCAATATTATGTAGCGTATATTAAAAGTCCCAGGCTACATCGTCATTTAAACTCGTCTGTTCTAAAGTTCTCTCCAGCAGGTCAGGAATAGTGTCCCCTGGAAGGAAGAGTTACGTAGATTAGTACATCGTCTGACCATCTAACACAGCACAGTACTGTAACTTCTAAACTAAAATATAAGACTTTCCAACCTAATGCTTTCAAGTGGTGCCTGCTGATGGCCAGTGAACCAAAATATAAGACTTTCCAACCTAATGCTTTCAAGTGGTGCCTGCTGATGGCCAGTGAACCAAAATATAAGACTTTCCAACCTAATGCTTTCAAGTGGTGCCTGCTGATGGCCAGTGAACCAAAATATAAGACTTTCCAGCACATCATTTTGAAGTGATCACTGCTGACTGCTATAGTAAATTAAAGCTTACAAAATAAGTGTTATGGTGAGTGAGAATATCAACACCCAATCCTGGTGTCATCCTTCATCCCTCAAGGCTGACTCACCCAACCAATTGTTGTGAGCTCACTGCACTGTATCCCTGTTGTAGGCTATACATGCAGGAAATAGCAGCAGTTCTGACTATACATGCAGGAAACAGCAAACATTTCTGGCGATACATATAGGAAACAGCAAGCAGTTATGGCTATACATGCAGGAAACAGCAGTAGTTTAACCAGCCTCGAACTATCAAGGGAGGGCTAATCTTCAGTTGATTCACAAACGCTAAAGTTACAATGGTTTCGGTCGTGACCCCAATCCCTATCTCGACTACACAACTGGTTCATAACGTGTAGTGTACAAAATACCCGGAGGAAATAATTTCATATGACCAGATGCTTTCACTGTACAAAGTCCCACAGTAAACTATAAGACACAGGAGCAATATGAAGATCCAACAAATATATAATCTGAGTTCTCATAATTATCCGAGAGATGGCGGTCCAGTCTCGCTCTTCAAAGCAGGTGGTACTGTGTCATGCTTCAAGGAACAACTCGGAGGGTTAAGGGTCCCGGTAAGATTGACGCACTCTTACTTTGGTTACGTGACTTATTAATGCAAGCGTTGATTTTGCATTGTTTACACTGTATTTAATTTGTGTTTTATTTTTTCGGGCAAATGTCAACATTGAATTGCACAGTGTTTAGAGACAGAAAAGGGTGAGGTCAGTTATTCTAGTCTCTCTCTTTTGTCTCTCTCCTTTCCTAGTAAGTACACAACAGCACAGCACAAGACCTCTCAACTATCTCTCTCTCTTACCTATCTCAGTCTGTTGTGAGAGTGGAACAACAGGATGAAGAAACTGTGGTAAGGTCCCGTTCAACTTCCGTGTTTGTCTGATGAACTGGTGGTGGAGGAGGTCATCCGCTGACGGCCGGTGTTCTGCGATGCGCTCTAGAGCCTGGGCGACGAAGGTGTGGGCCGCCGACGAGAAGAGGCGCTGAGATATGGCCATACTGGTGAGGTTATCCCCCACGCTGCCACCGACGCCCGAGTCTGTCGCCATACCTGCAGGCAACATAATTGTATAATGTACTGTGTAAGTCTTGTGGGTGAAGAAAGGTTAATTATAATAGGAGGATGGAGTGAATGATGGCTGTAAAAGCATTGTTGTTGATGATGATGATGATGGTGACAGTGGTGATGGTGACAGTGATGATGGTGGTGGTAGTGACAGTGATGATGATAATGGTGGTGGTATACAAATGTGAGGATCTGTAAGTGTAATTTAACATTTTACAAAATCCTGTGTTCAGGAGTAATGCGCTTTCACACCCTGGCAAACAGAGGTGTGTGTGTGTGAACAAAAATCAACAGCTAAACAACAATGGGGTGACGCACCTTGTCCGTTCTCAGCATTCTGGGGGCAGTTGGAGGCATCGTAGAGGTAAGGTACACGGTCCTCGAGTTTCTCCAGCAGCATGAGTGTTGAAGGAATGCCTCTGTACGGCACCTCGCCGTTGCCTAACTCACACATCACGATGCCTACGCTGTAAACATCGCTCTTCTCGCTATATCCGTGAAGATCCTGAAAGCAAGGGGAGGAATATAATACAGAGTGTCTCATGGTTTGTAGGCCATATTGTACAGGGTGTCTCATAGGTTATGGACCAAACTGTACAGGGTGCATTATAGGTCACCCACCAAACTGTACAGGGTGTGTCATAAGTTGTGCTGCTTGTGCACCACACAATAAAACTTACCCAAATTTCTATGATCAAATTTTATGAGGACATTTCTATAGCAGTTCATATGGTTCCCACAGGCCAGACTGCCTTATAGAGACAGTGTGAGTACAATTAACAGTCATGGTCATTAAGGACAGTGCGGGTACAGTTAACCTGACCATTAGAGATAATATGGGTAACATTTAACAGTCATGATCAACACTACAGTACAATAGGTTAAGCATAAGTCAGAATTCTAGATAAGTCAGTCAGCTTAGAGGGGTCTTCCCATACAGTCCAGCTTATAGGGGTGTTACTCACCTGTGCCAACAACTCTGGACTGGCCCAGTTAAGGTTGCAACGAGCCTGCCGGGGGTAACAATGGACGGTTTTCTGCCATCTGGTGGAGTCCACAATAGAGGTGCTGTGTCGTAGTCCACTCAGGGCCACGCGACCTATACTGTCTATTAGTATGTGACTCCCTCTCACGGCCCTGCAAATAGTATACAGTATATGTATGGTGAACGATGATATTAATTTATATAATCACACACACACCTCCATATAATCCTGCAAAGATTCTCATAAGCATAACTTTACATCTACTGTCATAAACTCTCAGCCTTAGGACAAACACAAGATAAAATCATGTAGCAAACACACTCACTCACCTGTGAATGATACGCTTGGAATGAAGGTAAGAGAGGCCATGCAGGACGTCCTTGATAACGAGAGCCAAGGCAGACTCCGGGAGACCTTCAGCAAAGTGAGTGGCGACGAGACGGGAGGCGGAGGTGTACCCTAACAGAGGCATGACTATCCACAGTTGTTGTGAGAATGTAAACGAGGCCATGTACTGGATGATGTTTCGATGTCTGAGTTGTTTCACTGTCCGAATCTCATGCTGGAAGGTGGAAAGGCTTGTGAGGTATACTTAACCACTTCACTACATGGTCACCACTTTTGTTATTTTATTAAGCTAACATTTCATGATTATATTCAATAGAGAGGTGACCTCATACACAAGGGGTTAAATTATTACTCTATGTACGTTGGTCAATCAACACACACACTTGAATCAACTAGCACACCTCATGACGCTCAACACACTCACCTGAATCAACCAACACACGCTGATGATATTAACACACTCACCTGAATCAACCAACACACCTTGAAGACATAAACACACTCACCTGAATCAACCAACACACCCTGACGACATAAACACACTCACCTGAATCAACCAACACACCCTGACGACTCACCTGGATCAACTCAAACTCATCTTCACATTTATCCAGCTCATAGATCTTAAGAGCCACGTGGTTGTTGGAGGGCTTGTGCCGAGCGACCCACACTGTGCCCTTACCGCCACACACGGACCCCAGGGGGCTCCACACATCGTAGCTCTCCGTTGATGCCTCAAAGGACACCATGCTGGGAGAGCGTAACTCCAATGCAAAACTCTCCGACTTTATGCGGCTCTATGAGGGAGAAATAGAAACGAATAATCATTTAGTATGAATAATCTTTAACAACAAGAGACAGAAACTTTAATTAGATTAACATACATGGATAATTATTTTAGGGTTCTTTACATAACACAATTGACAAACTACCAAAAAGCGTGTTTATGTATGATTAATCATTGAGCCAATACTGTGTGTGTGTGTGTGTGTGTGTGTGTGTGTGTGTGTGTGTGTAGAATAACGTTATTAGTGTATTACATCAGTGAAGCAACGCTCACTTGGCTGTCCTTATCAAAAATTAATATATGACTACTGTGGTAATAAGTCTTGTTATATCTGACAAATTTAAGGGTTGTTAAATGACACAAGAATAAATACTACAAGAATAAATAAAAGAAACAGAAAAACAATAAAAAATAAAGAAAACACAAAATAAAGATAATAATAACATAGACAAATATAAAGCAGTAACGTTTGTACAATATTAAGGAGCATGAGTGTAGTAGAAGGCCAGAGTTAATATACTGTACTTCAAGGGAGATATGAGACATTATCTTCTCCTCGAACAGCAGTTTTTACAGTTTTTCTCTAGGACCCATTTTCTCAAGAAGTCAATAAAGGGAGGAAATGCAGTGAGGTGTGATAGAAGGAAGGTGTGGCAAGAGCTGGAAGACATGTTCCTCCCATAGTATGAACTTTATCATTCAGACTTGGGCTCTTCAGCATTGGGTGTCTTGGAAAAGCGTATCTGTACATGATAGGTTACGGGTATTGGTGGTGATCATGTGAACGTTTGTATTACCAACAGCAACACTGTCCTCACTTGTTGATGTGTGAGATCTCCTACAAGTAAAGACAATGTTGTTCTAGTAATAGAAACATTCATACCATCTCCACCAAAATTTGTAAGGCAGTGTATAAACATGTTTATGAAACACCTTGTTCATTCATTGTCATACTTACAGAGTTAACAAACATTACTCTCATACATGAAGTGTTTCACAACACTAGATAAAGGTGGAGGATGTGTCCCACACAATGTACAGTCACTCAAAACCTATCTACTGTATACATAATTGTGTTGAAAAAATATGATAACGGACGAAGGATTTTGACAACCCTACCGAGACAACGGGTGTCACAGTGTTCATTCTGAGATAATTGACCCCCAAGTAAACATAGTTTTTTGAGTGACTGTACAACAGAGAGGAAGTACAGTACACAAGTACTGTACTGTACAATATTCATCCACTCAATGGGTAAAGTACTGGAGGTTAGCAGCACTCATAAAGTGTGTACATTTTATTTTTAATTGAGAAGCATTTTAAGTTTATCACAAGCAGATGTTTGTCCTGTATGCATCTTCCTCTGGCTAAATAAACTGTTTCAATGTATTATTCATTACCACAATACTGTGTGGTGATCAGTGAGTGAGTGAGGTGGTGACCACACTACAAGGGGGAAAACAGCCATACACAACTCTGAGTCAATGTCTAAAAGTACACTATTAATAATCACAAGGAAAAAAGAAAACACGAAGTTCCCAAGCGCTTTCATGTAATTCACATCTTCAGGGGTGAGTACAGACTGTACTCACCCCTGAAGATGTGAATTACACGAAAGCGCTTGGGAACTTCGTGTTTTCTTTTTTCCTTGCGGTTATCAGCATACACCTGGATCACGCGCACCTACAGTGATTTACTTGCACTATTAATAATATAACACTACCTTAACTAACGTACATACCTGTAATACTTAGTAATACATTATACAATTTAATATATTTGATTTACAGTATAAAAAAAAAATTACTTTTAAATATCTTACAGTTTCATGCAACATTTGATAGTTCTAGACTTATATACTGCAGTCAAGAGGATTAACAAGACCATTTACAATTCCAGCCTTTAAGAATCACCTGAAGTTTAGCCCCCCAAGATCTCACCTGAAGTTTAGCCCCCAAGATCTCACCTGAAATTTAGCCCCCCAAGATCTCACCTGAAGTTTAGCCCCCAAGAGCTCACCTGAAGTTTAGCCCTCCAAGATCTCACCTGAAGTTTAGCCCCCCAAGATCTCACCTGAAGTTTCAACCCTCAGTTTAACCAGCCTGAAGTTTTAGTACTCCAATACAATCTGGGGGGGTCTATTCTTCAGGTGATCCATAAGACTAAAATTATTAATGGCCTTGTTGATAGTTTAGACTTTAACACTGATACTGTATATACATTTACTACATCATAAAATATACAGGAATACAGTACATACATATCAAACACTCAACACATACTGACCATTCCACACACAGTAAATATATTAACTCTTAGTTGGCAGCTAAGGACTACCTACCCTACCTTCATGTGTGCAAAACTGGTATGCAAAGAATGTAAAATGTCCACTGATGATGGCCACCATCCCCTCAGCTAACTGATGATGGCCACCATCCCCACTGATGATGGCCACCATCCCTACAGCTAACTTCCACTGATGATGGCCACCATCCCTACAGCTAACTGCCACTGATGATGGCCACCATCCCTACAGCTAACTGCCACTGATGATGGCTGCCATTTAAGGGTTAATAAGATCTGTCCATAAGACTTAACTATTAAAAAATAACATTAAAGCGAGTGTCAATAAATTCTACAAGTTTAGGAAAATATTAACTGACAATGATAAAAAATCTGTCAGTCAGTCATCAAGTCACCGTCAACACTCACCAACACAACACACAGAAAAATACCGAAATTGATTCATTATGAAATTATAACTTAAAACTATTAAAACTATACAAAAAAGTTTTAGTCTCTGGGCTTGATAGCTCTCACTAAACTGGGAGTGGGTGGAGAACATCATGAGGTTACACAGCACAGTACAGATATTTCACCAATAAAGTTAAGTATTATTTTTCATCTTTACCGACCAGTCACCTTGTTGTGAGGAAATCGCATGCTGTTTATTATATGTAAAGTGAAGTGATGTTGTCAAGACCAAGACCTTGAATGACACCTTTGGTAATTATGATATTTTGAATCACCTGAAGATCAACACCCATAGAGAGCTTCAGGTGTGTTTAACAGGGGGGACTCTTCAGAGGAGCATCTAGGGGGCTAATCTTCAGGTGACCCATAAAGGCCAAAAGAACAAAAGAACACAGTCTCATTAGTGGTACTGGTGTCGACTTCATCACTGAACACTTCTGTACGGGGAACATTGCATTTCTTTTTTATTAACCTAAAATTATCCCGGCAGGTACAGTACTGTATACATTATGGACCAGCTATTGTATGTACAGTGGAAATGTTGAATATATACAAACAGACAGAGGAAGTTAGGTTAAAATATGTGACACTACAGTAATATCGCCGTTAGCCAGAATCCCTCAAACCCGGAACTCTCTGATAGCCGGAATTGAAATTTTCTCGGAAAATTGATCCCAAAGCCGGAATTTTCCAGAAAATTTTGGCTCTGGAAACGATTTTCCGAGGGGCACATTTTCTGGAAAATTCTGAGAAAATTATCCGGTACCTGGAAAACTCCAGGGATGGGAGATATTTTTTAGGGTTCAAGAGATGATGTAATGAGTAACTTCCGGAACTTAAGAGAACATTTTTTCCAGCTTTGAGAGATGTTTTGTTACCTAGAAATCTCTCATTCCCAGAAGTGCTCTGCACCAATTGTTCTGGCTAACAGAGATATCACTTATATGGTGCAGTATATAAAGAGTGAGACACAACATGAAGCACATCCAAAGAAGGAAAAATTATCTAACCAAAAGAAACTTTACTAAAAAAATAAAACTAAGTAAAACCGCAACACAGATACAATACAATACTGTACAGTACTAGAGTAGCAACAAAAAAATAGTTATGTTGCAGCGTAGAGTAACCATGCACAGCGTAAGAGTGAGTGCCCAAGAGCCGGGCAGCACGTGACACACGGGCTTTAGTATCTTACGAGGGGCTGGTATGCAGTGTCAGTATGACCTAGGCGCACATCTACGCGCACATCAGGGGAGACGGCCAGACTGGCTATGCGGGAACACGCACACGGACAATCAAGGCACGACATGACCCACAGACTGACAGAAACTGACACTTTCTCAGACCGAGTGAATGAAGAGATGCCGGACCCGGTGTGCCAACGCTCAACACTGCTCCAACACTGCTGTACTGTACACCTTTTTTTTAATGGGTGCTCCAATGCCTGCCGTAGGGAATAACAATGTGAATTGAATCATCTCTTTAAATGAGTTCACTGTTTATGAGTCAAAAGTTAATGACAAACCAACAACTGAAATGAATTACTGTACTTCAGTCAATCAAGAACAATAGTTTTAATGGCTGCTCCAATGCCTGCCAGAGAGAATTCTGTAAAAATATTGTTTATTAATTATCTTTTTATAAGGAGTTCACTTGTCTATGCCTCAAAATCTAATCCTAACCTTATAATCCCAATGCATCACTTCAGTCAACCAATCAATGTCATAAACGACATTTTTCGAGTCGATATAAACGTACGGTAAAGACTTTAACGCAGAATATTCACCCAACTCTACCCTCACCCAACACAATCTACAGTCAAACACTTTACTCAATAATTCTGTAGAGCAAAACAGTCGTGAGATACTTACCAGGAACGAACGTTAAACCGATTACTTATATTGTAAATAAATGACATGATGCTTGGACATGGTGTGGTTAGGTTAGCTTAGGGAGGATAGATTAGATTAGGTTAGTTTGGTTAGGTTAAGTCAGTTTAAGTTAGATTAGGTTAGGATAGGGGGATAGGTTAGGGGAAGATAGATTAGCACTGATTAGGTCAGGATGTGTTAGGTTGGCTTAAATCAGGTCAGGCCAGGTTAGGTTAGCTTAAATCAGGTCAGGTTAGGTTAGCTTAGATCAGGTCAGGTTGGGTCAAGTTAGCTTGTATCAAATACCCTGTACTGTAGTAAAGTGGTCATATTCTTGGTCATATTTCAGACCTGACTTAAGGCTTGCTAGTTTACGTTATTTCGAAACAATAAAAAAAACTACATTACTTTTTTTCTTACCCGTACGCATAAATGAACATAAATTAGTGCATGGATTCAAGGGTAGTGCAATGACCATACCAGTGATGAACATGACAGCAACATTAACATGACTACTACAACAGTGTAGTTCAGATGCCACTAACAGATTATAAACCTTCTAATTAATTAACAAACTCTTATATTAAGGTGTTGGTGGCAATTTTACTACAGGTTACACTCGCTCCACGGAGTATCTTTAAGGGGGGTGGGGGGTCGGCTGGATTTCAAAATGATCACTGCGACTCCTGTTGTCTTGGTAAGGTTATCAAAATGCTTCATCTGTTGTGTCGTATCTTTTAACACAAAGTCATAAAGATACTACTAGGAGCGAGTGTATAAATAAAACTGGTGCTCAAGGCCTGTCTATCCTGAGTTAAAGGTCTTGCTGACTATTCTACTACAAATAAAATAGGTGCATTAAGCCCATCTATCTATCTATCAATCAATCAACTCCTTTGCCACTTTTGTATGGGGTGGTTGAAGGAGAAAGGGGAGAGAGAGAGAGAGAGAGAGAGAAGGGGGAGATAATAGGGGTGAGTGATGCAGGACAAATGTAAAAGCAACAACAATGATGGGTGTTAAGACAAGTGAAGACCAGTGCAAAAACTCAACTAACCAAAAATCTAATTAATCAATCACTATTTGATTAACTTTCATACATAAATATTTTTATCTAATCTGTTCCCAAAACTTATGGCAAGATAATATTTATTTATCAAAAACTTTCTGGGTTCAAATACTAACACAATATTACCTTATAATGAAAACATAATTCTTAAAATAAAGAAAAAAAATGGCTTTCAATTTACTTAATCTGTGGCACCAATGACAGACACTGAATTATGTTTGATTTTATCATGAATGAACCACTTGGTATTATCAACCATTACTATATACAGTACAGGAAGTACATTAGATATTTGACCCATTTTTAAACTTAGGTATCTAAACTGCATAGTATCAGATAATTATTAACTATGATGGTAATTTCCAAAGGAACATAGTATGTTTATGTAACAGTTGAAAAGGTACAGTGCTGTATCAGGATTACATAAATAAACAATCAGACTCAGTAAACAACTTGGCCAAAGAGCTAACCTTCCCACCTACATTTCTCTTTGACGAAGAGGAAGATCTTTTCCTCGTCCACCAAGTGTTGTCCACGGGGAAGATTTTTCTACGTATCTGAAATTAAATTTGCCGGTTGAAGTCTTGATAAGTTCCGCACACTTTTCGGCCATCAGCAGCTATGACGCTACACCATTGTCAATGCAGTATATAAGGATCACCTGAAGAATCGCTCCCCCAGCTTATTTCACCTGATTTAATTTCCCCAGCTTATTTTACCTGATTAAATCCCCCAGCTTATTTCACCTTATTAACTCCCCCAGCTTATTTCACCTTATTAACTCCTCCATCTTTTATAACTCCCACAGTAAGAGACTCAAATATAAATAACTCGCACCAAAAGACTCTCATAGAAATAAACCTCATACCACAAGTGACTCACAACACGACAGACTCACAACCTCACAAGACTCTCACACCTCCGTGACTCAAAACACAACTGACTCTCAACACAACAGACTCATAACCTCACAAGTAAATTCTCACACCCCCGAGACTCACAAAACAAGATACTCACAACACGACAAACTCACAAAGCTACGACTCAAATAACTCAAAAACGAGGAAGACTCACACGGTTCAGCTTGGTGGAGGCTGAGGAAGAGAGAGAAGGTGAGAGGTGAGAGGCGGCAACAACAGACAGCCACCCTCACCAACAACTTACTTCTCGGATGTGTTTTGAAAAAGAGAAACTAGGGAACGTGATGAGGAGCATAACGTTGTCCCAGTCACCACGACCAGACAACTGTGCCTAATTATTTTGTAGAGGTGACATGGATGGATAGATAGATAGATAGACATATAGATAGTCAGCAGATAGCACTCGGTCATATTGAATCACCCTTTACATAGAATATATAATCGTGGATCACCTAAGATTAACACCCCAGATTATCTGCTGAATAGTTAGTAATATTTAACAGTGTGGGGTATGAGATGTTTGGTTCACACTCAGGATGGAATGGAGAAAGGAAACTCACAATGTGCTCTCTATATACATGTTGTATTGGATGTACAATGCAGCTTGGTGCTGGGAAGGCAGCATGGTTACAAGCGTGATGTAGAGAGAGCTGGTTGGTGAGGACGCTCAGAGAAGGACAGCTTGTGGGTCGCCATGCTCGCCAGCGGGAGAGAGGACCGCCAGGCAGGCGGAGGAGCGAGGACCGCCAGGCAGGTGGAGGTGTTGCTGGCTGGTTGGTGTAGGTAGAAAAAGAGACAGATCACCACGAGGTCAGGTCTTAAATAGCGGGGGTAGGCGTGGCTTAGCAGTTGACCCCCGCTCCGTGGTGTATGGCGGCGCTGGTTGACCTAGACCACGAGGCATACACTGGGGAATTGGTGGGGTCGGCTAGGCAGCGACAAACAGCGTTTGTAGGGGAGAATTCCACTACAATACTCCCCCTTCCCTCCAGGCTGTGTAGGAGACTTGTTGTCTGCAGGGTTGCATAGCACATGTGAGGCAGAACGGGCGGTGCGTGCCTCATGTGAGACAACGGCGATGGCGTGATGAGCCGGTCGCTGGATACAACTGTCTAGATACACAATATCTGTGGGAGTAGAGAGGGAGAATAAGGGTGTGTGGAGGCGATGAATGTTGTGCTTCCCTCACGGCAGGTACAGAGTCGACAGATGCGCCTGCTGGGGTGTGTGGACCTGGGTCAGGAGCAGGGGCTGTGTCAGCAGCAGCGGATGAGGGCTCGTGACAGCAGCTGGGTCCACGACAGCAGCAGGGTGCAGGACATTAGCAGGGAGTACCTGAGGGAGAAAAGAGGGGTGTGTGGGTCCGCACTCAGGAACAGAGGCCGCATCAGGGGCGGCAGGGGTTACTGCTGGGCCGGGGTCGGCGTCTGAGGCAGGACGGGTGTGCTGGGGTCGGTAGGACGTGGTGCTTAGGGCAGGAAGAGGAGCTGGTGTCTGCTTAGAGTAGCAGAGCTGCTCTAGGGTGTCTAACCTGCGGTGTAGAGACAGTAGCTGTAGAGCCGATGAGAGCTGCTTCTGGGTGGATAAGCCAGTCTTCCATGTTGCTTGAAGACTGGGAGCGTGATCAGTTTCTCCTCCATCCTGTGTGAGTGCGAATCTCCGGGAGTCACCATTTGTGGGGTATGAGATTGTTTGGTTCACACTCAGGATGGAATGGAGAAAGGAAACTCACAATGTGCTCTCTATATACATGTTGTATTGGATGTACAATGCAGCTTGGTGCTGGGAAGGCAGCATGGTTACAAGCGTGATGTAGAGAGAGCTGGTTGGTGAGGACGCTCAGAGAAGGACAGCTTGTGGGTCGCCATGCTCGCCAGCGGGAGAGAGGACCGCCAGGCAGGCGGAGGAGAGAGGACCGCCAGGCAGGTGGAGGTGTTGCTGGCTGGTTGGTGTAGGTAGAAAAAGAGAGTGATGATGATGATGATTATACGGAGAGAAGAGAGCAGTGGCTCTGAGAGTGGGAGAAGGGTATAGTACAAGGTAAAGTTTAGAAGTGGGAAGTAGAGGAGAAGGTTAACAGCAGGTGGGCTATCCACCTTGCGGAGACGTGTTTTTTGTCTTCCGTAACTGTGCTGCATTGAGAGGTTCTTGGGGTTAGGGAAGGCCGGTCTCAGCCAAGCTAAGCTAGGTTGTTCTAAGTTGTCCTGAGGGCATATTTTGTTAGGGGGGGTCTCTCCAGGTCCTTGTGGCACTGGAGGGATGATCCCCATCTTTTAGTTATTTTTATTTTTATTTCTTATTGTTATTTTGTTGTTATTTTGTATATAGAGGCTCTGGTTCTTCGTTATCATTTTTCCTGCTTCTAGGCCACCATCCGTGCGATGTGTTGTTGTTTTCCTCAATTAGTTGGTTTAGTATGGGATCCTGTTCTTGCTCGATTTTTTCCCATATTACATTTGCTTGGGTGTGTATTCTGATGTTGAGTGGGTCTATGCCGTGTTCTGTGTGTATGTCTTGTACTGTTTGTGTGTATGGTGGTTGGTGTTTTGCCGCTCTTCTGAGGGCTATATTTTGCACTGCTTGATATTTGAGTTGATTGGTTCTTGAGATTGTGTTCAGAGGTATCGGGGGGTATTCTAAGTGTGGTCTGATCAGTGCTTTGTATAGGTGCAATTGCGTGTTGGTTTCCAATTGGCGGAATCTTTTGAGCTTAGTAAGTTGTGATCTTGCCATAGCTAATCTTTCGTTAATGTGGGGTGTTATTCCGCATCTGGATATCTTGAGTCCTAATGTTTTTCCCTTGGCAGCGTATGGTATTTGTTGGTTGTTAACAATAATAGGGAATGGTTTTGTTTTTGCGATGTGAATTATTTGGAGTTTTTGTACATTGGTTTTTATCTTCCATTTACGTTCATAGTCGTTTATTACCTCTATTTCTCTGCATGTTCTAATAGCCATCATTTGTTTGGACTTTCCCGGGTACCTGACTATCTGTGTTACATCGTCTGCGTAAGCTATGTATTCTGATTGACGTGGTTGCGGCATATCTGCCGTGTATACAGTGTATAACGTCGGCGATATATTACTGCCTTGGGGAACTCCGCTATGAAGGATGAAGGTTTGTCCTAGATGGTTGTCGATTATTAATTTGGCCTGTCTGTTATCTAAGAAATTACATAATAGTGCTGTGATATTGGTAGGCATGTCCAATTTGATTATTTTTAACTTCAATCCTTCATGCCAGACTTTGTCAAATGCTTTTGAAACATCTCTCAGAATTATGTTGCATTGGTCTCTGTTACTTGCAGCATTTGCAATTGATTCATATATTAGAGCTATTGCTGTGTTGGTTCCTCGGTGTTTTCGAAAGCCGTGCTGTCTCGGGTTATATTTGTTTTCTTGGTCTAGAAAATTTCTCAGTCTGTTGTTGATTATTTTTTCCAATATTTTACCAGGTGTTTCCAATAATGATATAGGTCTGTAGTTTTCAGCTTGAGTATGGTTCTTTCCTGCTTTCGGAATGAGTCTGATTTTGGCTAATTTAAATTTGGTAGGGAAAAAGCCAGTTGCAAGTGAGGCATTGTATATATTTTTGAGCTGTTCGATCATAGACTGAGGAATGTTTTGAAGTACGATTTTATTAATTTGGCTTATGCCAGGTGCTTTATTCTTGAAACTTGCTATTGTTTTTGCAATATCATTTTGAGTTAATGGGGCAATTATTGGGTTGTTTATGTCTAATGAGTTGAGGTTGATTTTATTGGTAGGTTTCCATTTCTCTGTGTTCTGGCTCAAATATGTTTTAGTTGCCTGTTCTGTTTCTTGGCAGAAGCTTCTATTGTCTTCGTCATTTATTCTGAATATGTTCTTCCAGAATTCTCTAAATATTGGTTCTTTATCGTGTGGTTCTGTTACCTTTCTACCGTTTTTGTCCTTTATGTAGTTAGTTTCTTCCGAGTTTGTTCCCATTAGGTATTTTATTTTCTTCCAGAATGCTTTTGGATTTTTGTAGTCTGCTTGTGTGTCCTGGATCAGCTTGTTCCATGTTTCATTGTGTTTGTTCTTGCTTATGTCTTTCAGTTCTTCTTTTAGATTCCTGTATAATATTCTGGTGTCATTGCTCCACCCGTGTGTTTTGGTGTATTCATATAGATTGGTGAATCTAGTTTGGATCATTTTCTCTTCATGTGTTAATTGTGCATGTGGTAATGTACGGTATGTTGTTTTTGGAATGTTGTTTTCCATTGCTGTTGTTACTTCTTTGTACCATGTATCCAGTGAATTATCAATCTCTGTTGTGTCTTTGTTGTGTAGGAGTGTTGGTTCGTTGTTGCTAAGTTCCGATTTAAAATTTTCCCAATTTGCTTTATTGAGTGAAAATCTTGGGATTGATGGGATTTGTATCGGGGATGTGGATAAAGTTGCAATTATGGGTAGATGATCACTGGTTGTTGTGGGTCCAGCTTTTAGATGTACGTTTAGATGGTGATGTCTATTGGTTAAAACAATGTCTGGTTTCCCAGTGTTGCCGGCTGATATGTAAGTTGCGAAGTCGGGCCCGAGGTGTGTTATTGTCCCGTGATCGATGAGAGCATGGAGGATTTTTCCTCCTGGGTTTCTGACATTGTTTCCTAAGGTTGTGTGTTTTGCATTGAGGTCTCCTATGAAGTATGCTGGATTGTTTTGCCTCATTAGTTTTAAGATGTCCCCTGTAGGAAATATTGGTCTTCTGAATGTTAAATATGAAGTTCCGATGGTTATTGGCCCTCTTGTTGTATTTACTTCGGCTGCCAGAAAGTTACTTTGAAAGTTGTCAATGATTTTATATTGTATGTTGCGTTTTATGGCAATTGCTATGCCATCATGTGGTTCGTCGTGTATGTTCATTTGATGTACATGGTAGTTAAAGATCTTGATTTTTTCACTATTTTTCCTACCATGTGCGTTGATAAGAATGATGTCAGGGTCTAATGTGCTGTATATGTTGGTGAGTTCTGATTTCCTTGCCGAATTCCAGGCTAGGACGTTGTGCTGGATTATCTTTAATGATTTGTTTTGAGTAGTCGTGGGTCCCGAGAACTTGGTGTAGGGTGTCTGCTGGCTCGTATATCTCCTGGCGAGTGTCCACTCCTTTCCTCCTTCAATCCCGTTCTGATTTTCTTAAATTTAATTGTATCTACTCTTAAATAGCGGGGGTAGGCGTGGCTTAGCAGTTGACCCCCGCTCCGTGGTGTATGGCGGCGCTGGTTGACCTAGACCACGAGGC